TGGAAAGTCTAAGAAGTACTCCCTAAAGAATTGACAGAGTAACATGTGATTAGAAAGGATATTGTGTTGCTCAGCAATGAAATTATGTGAGTGATCCTGACTTTCCAACTAGACTGTGAATGCACTGAGGGCAAAAGCTAAGCTTCTGGGTTTGTTTGGTTTTTAATTATTTTAGGTCCTCATGATACCTGCCAGACAGTTGAGCACAAGGTGGATATTGAAATATGGTTAATTTGAATAAACACCATGTAGGTAAATTTCAAAGCATTCTAGGGTAGAAAGAGCACAGAGGTTATGACACCTCTGTAATGAGATGCTTCTATAAATAGATCTATGGCTGATGAATTAAAAATTAAAAAGAAAAATATAGCTTGCTGCTGTTGAGTCATTTTCTACTCATAGTGACCCTCCACTGGAAATTCTGAGGCTGTAAGCCCTTAAAGGAGGAGACTGTCTATCTTTCTCCAAGACAGTGCAGCTGGTGGATTTGAATTGCCAACCTTTCAATTAGCAGCTGATATATTATGAGCTATGCCGCTATGACTCCTTACAGCTAATGAAGAGGGTATGTTTATTACAAAGTAGTATCACTACTTAAACAGTTACTGACCTTTGGCTCTAATCTGGAGAGTAACAATGTAGACACATGCTCAGGAAGGATCTGTAACTTTGAATTGAAATTTTCAGTTTACTTGTCTATTTCCCTATAAGTTTGCTTAGGTCTAGGATCAAGTGTTTATCTTTTTATCTTCAACAAATAGCAATGTCTGGTTAATTTTAAGAGCATCATAAATGTTAGTGGATTAACTATGTTAATATTAGTAGATAAATAAATGAATAATTTGATGAAACAATGTGAATAAAAAGAAAAGTGACCTAACAAAATTTAGAGAAATGTTCAGAAAATCATGCGTTTATTACACTATAGCACTTGCCAATTTAGGCCATGATTACTTTGTAAATTATAGTTTCTCATATGTATTAATTAACTGAAAACAATTAATAGTTAGGAAATAAATCACTATCCTAAAAATAGAGAATGTCCCATCGCAGCCTGTAGCAGCATTTATCAATCTCCCATTAACTCATTTGTTTTGTCTGCTAAAATGTATGTTTCTTAAGCTCAGAGACTTTTTCATTTTTCCACTCCTAAAGGCCATGTCTCCCTAGCAGTTCATATCCACCATCAGCTCCAAGGGAGAAATACAGGAAATTTCCTGTCTAATTTACAACCTCTAGAAAACTCATGAAGGGTCAATTATGAGTCAGTTCCAATTTGACAGCAATGAGTTTGAGTTGTAACAACAACAAAGTCTATAAAAATTGGCATCCAGATAATGCTAAAGACATCACCACTCAAGAATTGCATTAGGAAAGTCAACTGTCAGAGACTTTTCCAAAGTACTGAGAAGCAATGATGTCAGTCTGGAGACTAAGGTGCACCTGATCCAGGCCATAGTCTTTGAAATTACTTGCTATGTATCAGAAAGCTGGACAATGACTAGGGATAATAGAAGGAGAATTGATGTCTTTGAGCTATGGTGCTCGAGAAAAATAGTGAATATACCATGGACAGCTAAGAGAACAAACAGGTTCATCCTGGAGAGGGTGAGATCAGGCTGCTCCTCGGAGGCAAGGATTCTGAAGCTTTTTCTGACATACTCTGGACATGTTGCAAGAAGGGACTTGTCCTTCGAGAGGGACGTTATGCTTGGGAGGATGGAGGGACATCACAGGAGAGAAAGAGCCTCAATGAGATACATCAATTCAGTCACTGGGGTCATGGGGGTAGGTGTGTCAGAGACCATAAGATTGGCACAGGATAGAACAGGGTATAGGGCTGTTGTATATAGGGTTGCTATGAGTCGCAGGTGTCTCAACAGCACATAACAACAACAACAACAATAACAACAACAAAGCATTCTACATAGTCCATTTTCAGGAGTTTCTGGCATAGAAGAAATAGAGAACTTGGTTGCAGGTATAGATTAACTTGGTCTGGTACATTCTCTGCAGAATGAGCCTCTTTCCCTTTCTGAATGGATTTATCAATTAAACTCTCCATGACTACAAATTGAAAACACATACCTAACTTCATAACACTATAGTATATACTGCTTTGGTTCTCCTAGCCTTACACACTAGATCTGTGTAACACCATGTTTAACAAGGAAAGCATTTAACTTTGTGAATCAGGGATAGGACTATAGCTTAAACTTTAAATGGTGGGGTTGTTATGTGTCAGAACTGACTCAGAGCTGACATTCCAGCAGATTTTCAGAGACAGTAAATTGTATAAGAGGAGATTGTCCATCTTTCTTCCACGGAACAGCTGGTGGATTTAAACCCTGTTCCTTTGGAATTGCAGTACAGCTTCTTATAACTAGGCCACCAGAGCTTTAAATAACTATTGTAAATAATTGAAGCAACACTCTGCTTCACTCTTCCCATGGGAAAATTTCAAAAAGGACACTGAAACTATTCAGACATGTTTCAGACTCTTCTAAGTATGTCACAGACAAAAGAATGTTGATTTCTCTAGTGCCTTGATTTGATTTAAATGATGATCAAACCCTTTTATTCAGCATTTTGTCTGTTCCACAATCATCAGCATTCTCAGCAAATAAGCCAACAATCTTGGCATATTTTTCCTCCATTGTTTAGATGGTTACTATGAATAGTCCAGCCAAACCACTTTGTAAGTTTTACCTACATAAAATCAACTTAAATTATTCTTTAGTTATAAGTGACAAAGAAAGCACCTTCAGTCGTTCAGGGCATTGTAATGGTGATTATCCAACTGTTGTGTAATGAAGATATCTGGCATTTGTGGCATGTTTATGAGAGTCAGACTATTCATATTACAGCATGTCATATTATTCCTTAGAACAAATTTGCATGGTAGATGTGTCCATTTTATAGATGAGGAAAACAGAAATTCAGAGTGGTTCAATTTTAAGAGGGGAAACAGAAAATCATGATCTATCTGATTCTGCTAGAAGGTTATAACCATGTCAATCTAACACAATACTGGACTTTCATATTCTTATTTGTAGATTTATAGGTTGAAAATATTTATTTTGTTGCTAACTGAATATTAACAGTTTCTCACTGAGAGCACTGCTGTTTATTCCTAAAATTCTATTGGAAGTATTTTGCAGGGACCAAGAATAGCAACTAATTTAAACAGTCCTAAAAATTCTTTGACCTACAAAATTAATAGCAATACTATGAAGGCATTTCATATGTATTATTGACTGACTATTTCAGACTAAATTATTCCTAAGGCTGAAAGGTGGATCTAAAGCATACTCGACAGGAAATGTAAAGCCCTGGGAAAGTCCTCCCTCTTTTGCTGACATATTCTGTGACTCTGAATAAGACATTTAGCATATCTAGACTTCAATTTCATCATCTATTGAAGAGCTATCTATCAAAATAGTTGATGGTGGAAAATGAAACATGACAGTGCTAGTAAGGCTTATTAGCACTGTGAATGTGCTCTCCAGGCGTGCCTATCTATTAGTGCACTGAAAGACAAACACTCTCCATTGTATCAAATTTCCAAAGAGAAATTTAAGCAGTTCATGGAAAAATGAAATCAACTTAAGACCTTTTAGTTCTAGCCTTCTACCCACTCACCTACCATCACCCACACATACCATCCCAATTATTCTGAAATATTTCAATAGCCAAAAACATTTGACCTCATTGGGTTTGTTTTTTTTAAAATGACTTCCATTTGAAAACATACATTCACAGTAAAGTTAAATAGAACTGACTCAAATGCATAATTAATGCCTAGAATTTCCATAATTAATAAGTTTCAACTTTTTCATCTATCAAGGGTTGCCACTAGTACCTCCAAAAAGTGGCAAAGTTGTTTTTTGTTTGATTTGTTGGGTTTTTCCCTTGCCTCCCTTTAACCAGCTTATTTACAATTTAGGCAAGATGCCAAAAATCAGTAGTATGAACAAAGAAAAAGCAACAGGTAACTGGTCCCAGAATATTGAAGGGTTTCATACATTTTCAATTCTACTTGGCTCTTTAAAAGTCATTGTAACAGACTAGTATCACTGATTGGCAAGCATATTTACAAGCAAACCAAAGCCAAATGCATTATTACTGAGTTGATTCTAACTGAATTGACTCATAGATACTCCATGAGTTTCAGAATAGAATTGTTACTCCATAAGGTTTTAAAGAGCTATAATCTCTATAATCTCTGGTGGCCTAGTGGTAAGAATCTGTGCTGCAATCCTGAAGCCACACAATTCAAGCCCACCAGCTGCTTCACAGGAGTAAAATAGGCAATCTCCTCCATTTCGATTAACTGCCTCTGAAATCCACTGGAGGATCTGGGTTGCTTCTGACTGATGGTACTCAACAACAACAATCTTATAGAAGTCAGGCCTTGCTTCCATTGTATGTCTGGGTGAATTTGAACCACCAACCTTTTGGTTAGTGGCAAAATGCAAACTATGTGCCTTACCCAGAGACCTATATTTGTAATGCAAAAAATGTATTGCCTTCAAGTCTTTTTGCACTCATAGTAACTTTACAAAACTGAGGAGAATGGCCTCATAAGATTGCCAAGCAATCTGTACAAAAACAGATTGTCATATCTTTCTCCTGAAGGGCATCTGGTGGCTTCAAAGTGCAGATATTTCAACTAGCAGGTGAGTACTTAACCCCACTGCTGCCAATGCTTCTGATATTTGCAATAGGGAGAACAAAATTGCAACATACCAGGATACTACTCAGAGGTTCCCAGAGCTCTGAGCTCTTGGACTCCCATTCACAACAATCACCCTACAAAGGCTTAATACATTATTAGATTACTCTTTTCCCTGGGAAGCACTGGTGGCAAATCTTGACTATGGAAGAGAGATTAGGCAGACCTGTTCTCCATTCCTGCCAGTATGGAGGTTTCCAGAGAGCAGTGGGGGAAGGGAAGAAGGCTTGAGGAGTTCCATGCAAAACAACTTAGGTGCACTCACCTCAGGCAGAGGCACACCATTAACAATCAGGTCTGGCTGCTGGGGTCCCTGGCTGTTGAAAGAGTGATGGTAGATGTGGTTAGCGCTGGGATTTCGATTTCTAGTATTATTCTGGTTCTCCACATTCAGAAGGGTACTCTCAGACCGGCGGCAGCCCAGGGGCAGCGTCTGCTGGTGATAGTCGAAGTAGTTGAGGGATGAAGTCAGGGAGGAGCAACTGACAACGTTCATCTTGTCTGTCTCCTCCACATCCCGGGGTACAAGGCGGATGTCATTCTTACAGATTTTTTTCTTCTTGCTTGATTTCTTTTGATGCCCATAGGAGTACTCAGCGATTCTATGTGACAGAAAATGCAGCATTAATTGTAAACACCCTCCCAAACCATGAACAGATTAATAAACATTAATCACCCCAGAGGGTTGCACCCTGTATCTGCTCCAGCTCCTTATTCTGGTGCATTACATCATCAGGTTTCCTCCTGTGCTTTTTACATGAAAAAACAAACTGAAGGCCATAAAATTTTCCTATTAAGTAGATAGTAACCGTCTCACAATCTTTCCTTTCCCGTTAAGAAAACTACATGTGTTCACACTTTAGAGTTTCTCATTGTGAGTGGGGAAAATAGCAGGGGTGGGAGAGAGACAGGGAAGGTGAGCCTATGGGAGAAAAAACACACAAGAAAATGCTCATAACTGGAGCTTCCCTAGAATCAAAAGGAACTCCTGGGTGAAATAAGAAGCAAGTTCCAAATTTTTTTTCAGAATTTTTTTTATTTTAATGAAAGTTTACAGAGACTTTGGATTTCCATTCATTCATTGTTGCACACTTTAATGGAAGAGGAGATAAAGGCAAATTAAAAACAAACCACTTGCCAGTTCCTCCAGGCATTTGGAATAAGGTAAACATAAACAGTTTCAGTCAACTTCCTTTAAAATTGACTAGATCATGTTTGGACTAGGGTAGAAAAGACCCCATCCTTTGACATTGCCTTATTAGCTTTTCCACATCCTCCTTCTTGATGCTGCCCTAGCCCTGCCCATCCACTCCCCTCTCCTCTGAGAAGAAGATGATAGCCAAACCTGTTTGGAAGAGGGGAAATGCCTTTTTTACCTCTTTCCCCTTAGGCTCACTTTCTTTTTTCTTGCTCCTTGCTAATGAGAGAAACCAAGATGCAATGCAGGCACTTGATGTTTGTTCTTTTATAAAACAGCCAAGGAGACAAGTGATGGTTAAACAATTACTGCAAAGGAATTTAAAGGATAGTGCATTCAACATCCTTCTCCATTCAGGTGTACCTACAAGCAGCTGTGCTGCAACTGAAATATAGAGTTTGATTTCATTAAAACTGACACAGACCCAATAATGTACACCAAAGACACCAAGCACTGTGAGACTGTCAGAATAAATACATTAAAATGGAGCTAGATTCTCAAAATAACTTATTGCCGCATATATGGTTCAGCTTATTATTTAGAAAGTCAATCTCTAGGCAATAATCAGTAAAACAATAGGGTAATAAATAATATATGTTGATCTTTTACAGAAAAGATAGCCTGTATTATCTCTTGACAAAGTTAGTTATCTGACTACAAAAAGGAAACACAATTCAAGCAGCTTTTACAGATTCTCTCACAAGTCTCATAAATTAATGCACTTGAAGAAGAGGCTCTGCAGAGGCTGGTAAGAAGAAACCTCTCTCAAATCACATGAGAAGACAAGTTCTTGAACTTCTGATTTCCACAGAGTCTGAGCAAGTGAAGAAATTGCAGACAGACAGAGGTAAATGCTTACATTATCTGCAGGATCTGCCTAATGCTTAGCAACTGAGTTTCCCTCATCCTCTGTGCCCAGGCAGAATCGCAATGATGGCAAGCTGATGTTACTGGGGCATAAGAGCAGATAAAATTCCAAAAACCCTGAGACTGCAGTTGCTTGTTGCTTGGTGGATTTTTTTCCCCCTCCCTAGTCTGTTCATAGAATTAATGGAAAGTTCTAATCATTTTGTTTATCCCTAATGGGTAAGTCCCACAATGGCAGGCCCAATATTACTAGCTGAAACATTCATTGTGCCTTCAGTATTGACCAACCGTACTTTATTAATCCTAAACCATTATAGGAAACAAAGTATTTCCAAACCTCACATTAGGGTAAAGTTGATGGACACCAAGATTTTCTCCATCTACCGAAAATTCAAATGCTTTTATATCTGTTCAATGATCCCTCTGTCAAACTCTCTGAAAGAGCTCTCACTTCTAGTCATACACTACCAAGAAGTGGCAAAGCCTTCAATATCTTCATTTCAAGTGACTTTCTTTTTCATCAAGGAATGGATCCTATGCATTTACTCCATACTTAGAAAGATGGCTTTAAAAGAGTCCTCTCTATAATAATCTCCATATAAAGAAAATTTATAAACTCCACATTTTTCTTTTGTAAAAAATCACCAGTCATAGTCACAGGTTTCAAAGGTAAAAACAATATTAATTTCCATTTTTCCCATTTGAAATGACTCAATGAAGAAGGAAAGAAAAGTCACAGTCAATTCACTATTAACAGGATTAAAGCATTTATGAGGCATTGCAGCTGCTCTTTTATGGCACCTGATTGATATTCATGTGTGGTTAGTATTTGTCTACTAACTTGTGTAGCACAGAGAATAGTAAAAGGGAAACAATAATTGCATAGCTGTTGCGTATTTGGAGGACTCTGATTCACAGAAGTGTGCATCTCAGTGTCAAATACATATCAGACCTACAGGAACATGTTTTGACTGATTAACATGCAAGGGGAGACGGCACAAAAGACACACTGGATGTGTAGTTGTGTAGAAAACACGCACACACACCTTTTATTGGAAAAGCAGCATCATTCATTTTCAGTAAATTAAAGAAACATTTTTTTCTCAACCATTTTTATGAGACACTGCAGGAAAAGGATTGCATATATATCCTAAATAGATTCTAGAAGTACTTCAACTTATTTATTCTACCGAATTGTAAAGAAGGGCTTCAGCAAGACCCTCTAAGGTGGTTATCAGGAAATCCTTTTCTAATACTAGGTGGCATTTGAGTTTCTACACTTCTATGTTCTCTGCCTCTCTCTCTCTCATACACATACAGAACCTGAACACACTTCATGAGAATAGCCATAGCGATATTCACTGGTAGAGAGTAGATCTTAATGCCACAGCAGACTTCCTTATTAAAAGAAAGTACCATCAGCTCTAGAAGATATCTACTCCAGCATCTAGATGCAAAGTCTAATCCTCTCCTGAGATATTTGGCCAATCAATCAGATATTTGGAAAACATATCTGGCAGGATTTCACTTTAATATCCAGGTGTTTGTGGATGAATACAAAGCAAGTCAAGGATAAACTTTTAAAAAAAACAAACCACTAATCATTTGTTTCCCCACACACTCCTGATCTTTCTTCCTCTACTCAGTTTCCCATTTTGGACACCCATACTCAGGTTTTTTTCTGAAGCTCTTCTCTACCCCCAGGCTGGACTACTCCCTCTCCTTTTAGTACCTGTCCTCAAACGTAGTTGAGATGCAAAGTCGAGTTGTGATGCTTGCTGGTATTGCTAAAAAGAAGCATCTCAATCTCTCACTCATTCACTTTTTATCTGCCATAATTTCATGCAGACAGCTGTGCAAATTTTCAAATGATAATTGCTTTTCTACTTGTCATCATTATATGACAGAATTCATTGGAACAGTAAATGACTGTCTTCCAGCAAATTGTCAGATCAAAATAATTGATTCATTGGGCTACCACAAATTTTCCTATCTTCCCACCCGACACCCCTCCCAGGCCTGCCTCCAGGCCCAAAATAAAGAAGCAGGATAAGAAGGCTGTGTGCAATTAAGAAGGAAACAAAAACACTAGGATTTTTCACAGGGCTATATAGCCTTAATCATGCAGAACAAAGAAAGAAAAGTTGGCTTTACCTGCAGTTGTAGGTCCGGATCTCTTTATTGTCTCGCTTGCACTTAATCGCCACGAAGATCATAGTGATAAAGAGGATGCCTGCAATAGAGCCTAGGGCGATAATGAATATCAGGGACAAGTTCACTGAGCCCATAGACTCTTGAGCATCAAGAGCAGGGGACAAGTAGATTAGTATGAGCGCAGAGGCAGAGAGGGAGGTCTTCCCATGGTCATGAGCAACCACAATAAGTTCATATGAAGCCTTGGAGCTCTCACTGAAGGTACGGGTTGTTCTGACTTCGCCATTGACTTGATCAATTTCAAAGAATCCTCGGTCCCCTTCGGTCATGTCATAGGTGACTCGGCCATTCTCACCCTCATCGTAGTCATCAGCCTTGACAACAGTCACCAGGTAGCCTATGACAGTGTTTCGGGGGATGTAAACTTCAGCTGTGCCATTGATCAGAGGCGGGGTGGTGATGACTGGGGTATTGTCATTGACATCTAAAATTATGACCCTCACTGTGGCATTGCTCTGCAGCGAGGGCAGGCCCCCGTCCTTGGCGAGTACCTTGAATTCGAACGCTTTGGTCTGCTCATGGTTGAAGGAGCGCAGCGCGTAGATGTCCCCTGAGTTGGGGTTGATGGAGACATAGGTGAAGACAGGCATGTCCCGCACCTGTGAGGGCACAATCTGATAGGAGACACTGCCATTAAGCCCCAGGTCAGGGTCACGGGCAGACACAGAGAGGAGATAGGCACCAGGAGTGTTGTTCTCCTGCACGATGACCTGGTAGTAGGGCTTCGAGAAGTGTGGATGGTTGTCATTCTCATCCGTGATGCGCACTGTGAAAGACTTGGCACTCTGTAGCATAGGCACGCCACCGTCGCGTGCCTGGATCGTCAGGTTATACTGATCATGCTGTTCTCGATCCAGCCGTCCATCCACGAGGATAGTGGAGAAACTTTCATATTCCTGCAGCCGAAAAGGTACATTGCCTAGCAAACGGCACTGCACACGCCCATTGAGGCCTGAGTCTCGGTCAGAGACCCTTACCAGTGCAATCACATAGCCTGGGGGGGCACTCTCACTCACCTCCACCAGCTCGCTGTTGACTGAAAGTAGGTTGATGACAGGTGGATTGTCATTAGTGTCCAGCACGCTGACAGTTACCTTGCAGTGTGCCGGGATAGAGTTGGGTCCCAAGTCCTTGGCCTGCACGTCCAGTTCATATACGTGACCCTCTTCATAGTCAAGGGTGCCAGTAACCGTCACTAGGCCACTGTGTGGGTCGATCTGGAAGAGCTCACTAGTATGGTCGTTGACATAGCCATAGAAAGAGTAGACCACCTGGCCATTGGTGCCTTCATCTGGATCACTGGCATTGAGGTGGATGACAGGTGTGTTGGGAGGTGAGTTTTCTGGCACAGTCACAGAGTAGGCGGACTCACCAAATACCGGATTGTTGTCATTAGAGTCAGTCACCTTGATGCTAAGACCCATGGTGCCCAGGTGAGGCGGGTCACCACCATCAAGTGCAGTGATTCGAAAGTTGTAGTGTGACTGCATCTCTCGATCCAGGCTCTTTTCAACCACAAGTTCAGCAAATCGTGAGCCGTCACCGCGTGTCTTGATCTCCAGGCCAAAGAGCTCGTTGGGTGTGAGCTCATAGGATTGCACACCGAAGCTACCAGAATCTGGGTCAAAGGCGCTATCCAGCGGGATGCGTGTGCCAGGGCTAGCAGCCTCAGAGATTTCTAACTCGATCTGTGCTGCGGGGAAACTGGGTGCATTGTCATTCAGGTCCTTGATTTCCACTTTAATCACGCAGATTTCCATAGAGCTAGACATGACCTCTAGCGAGATGATACATTTTGGGCTTTGGCGGCAGAGCAGGTCGCGGTCGATCTTCTGCTTGGTGACCAGCAGACCTGAGCTGGGGTTGATGTCTACCAGATGCGGAGCTGAGTTGGATACCACACGGAAGGCAGAGGCCTGTCGTGAGTCCAGCGCAAAGCCTGCCTCATGTGCGTCCTTGGCCACATTGGCGATCACAGTCCCAGCACGCTGCTCTTCCTCTACCGAGTATTTGAGGTTAATGAGGGCAGCCGCCTGCGTCCACAATACAGCCAGCAGCAGCAGCATTGGTAACAAGAGTGACTCCATGGTTGCTAGGGGCTCAACCTGGCCTCGCCTCTCCACACCCAGCTGAGATGGACGCCGCCAGCGCTCCAGCTTCCCGCTGGCTGGGACAGCCTGTTGCACGGGTCCTGGGGCCCTGGAGGTCTCAAGAGGAGTCCCGCCCAGGGCTGCCCAGCGTTGTAGCGGAGATACCAGCACCGGCTCCAATGCTGAGGTGGCAGCAGGTTTGGTGAGGGGTTGGGAGGAACCCAGGGGCTCCAGGAGGCTGTGGGAGCGCCGCGTGGCCCCAAGCCCCCTCCCTCCAGCCCGGCTACTCAGTTTCCACCCTTCAGTGTTAGCTGGGTGCGACTGGCCACAACGGCGGCAGGCGTGGGACTGCAGCTAGGGAGGAGTCTGTGTAGTCCCTGTGACGCGTGACAGGGTCCAGACAGTACTTGGGGAGAGGGGAGAAAGAGTGATTGGGGCGGAGCGTCTCAGGCACTGACCAGTCCGCTGCAGTGTACTGGGGCTATTGAGCGCCTTGTCTGTGCACCTGGCATGCGCAAAGATCTCCCCAGCACTCCCAGCTCACTGCAGAGAGGACGCGCCTGTAAAGCGCTCTCCGAGGTCTAGAGGGGCTCTTCTCTATAAGGCCTGGTGGGAGGAAAGGGGTTACAGAAGAGAGCCTGAGCTGCTGCCAAGAGCCGCAGGTGCCCAAGGATCTGACTGAGCGGGATGGTGGTGCTGGAGCCAGAGAGAAGGGGGGTGGGGAAGAAGACTGCCAAGGCTAGAGCTTGCACTTTTGCACTGAGATTGGTTTTAGGTGGTTTTAGGGGTGTGTCTATCGAGGATTCGAGGTGGGCATGAAGTCCCCCACAAAAGGGCGTTTGCGTGTCAGAAATTAGGTAAGGAGTGCAACCCAAGCCTCCATGTCAAGTCTGTGAAAATGAGGAGATTGCAATTTGTTCAAGAAAATCAAAGTCCTAGTCTTTCCAATGGCTCAAGGGGCGGGGAATGAGGAAGAGGGGAAGGATAAGGACCACAGTACCAGTAAGGAGAGGTGGAGCTGCCGCAGGTATCGGGTGCTTCTCCCTGGTTTGGATTAGGGTGTTGCTCCGAGAACCGCTGCCTCCGCCACCGCCGCGGGAAGAAGCCTTCCTAGCTCAGTCGTACGTCGCCAGGGTCCCCCTCAACAGCTACCACAATCCGCATTTATGTCACCACCAAAGTTTACTTGCGGGAACGTCTTGATTCCATCCTTCTGAAGAGTAGCTGGTTGCCCGGGAGCAATCGGGAGGTCTGTCTCTTCTGTCTTGGGTTGTGTGTAAATATGTGAGAGTATGTGATGTGTGCAGTGTGAGTGTGGAGTGTGAGCAAGCAGGAGGCGATGGGTTTAGGGTGGGAGGTTTCTGATCTTGTGTTCTCAGATGAATTCGCTCAGTCAGCATGCCTTGGAGCGCAATGCGCCCAGAGCCCTCGCAAGGCTAAAGATGAGGGTGCCAGTGTCCCCCAGGCAAACCGGGCATGGTGTGCAGGAGCTATGCTGCTGTCTGCGCCCCCTTGTCAGTCTCTGCCCTGCGTCGGTGGCCGCTACGGCTACTGCTGCTGCTGCTGCTGCTGCTGCTCCTCTGAATGCCGCAAACTACTGGCCTTGGAGTCTGGAGAGAGCGAGCCTGAGCTGCAGAGCCCAACTACACCAGGAGTTAGCCAATCAGCGAGCAGCCCAGCGAACTCTGGGTTTGGGGGCGGGCCCAAGGCGCGGTGGGGGCGGGGTGAGGCGGGGTCAGCCCTAAACTTACCAGTGGGTCGGAGTTGTACGCTCGCCCTCTAGGAAATCACATCCTGAGGCGGGGAGGCCCCGCTGGAGGGATAAGCTAGGGCCGGAGAAGCAATGGGATGAGGATCAAGGGAGGCGTGCTAGCGCTGCAGCTGAGCCTATCTGCGAATTGTGCACGCTTCGGCTTTGCAGAGATGGCAGTCAAGATGAGAGTTTGATTCTCTGAGCATGTTTATCTTCTTCAAATATCTTCATATCTTGAATATAATAGTCAACGTTCACTCGCTCTTCCACTCACTCTTTGTCTCTGCGTCTTGGTTTTGTCTGTCTTCCTCTTCTTTCCTTCTTGGAGGCAGGGGTAGGAGAAAGTAGAGAAAGCGCCCAGGAGGTGGTCAGTCATCTGGGTTTGGTTATATTTTTCACTGCTGTTAAAAGCCGCCATCCTCTCTGATCAGACATCTTTGCCACCCTTCGTCCCTGAGCAAACGCAGCACATCCTCGCCACCACCACCACCCCTAATCAACACAAAGCAGGGCTCCCTTGGCCTGGTTCTAGTACGTTATTGTTTATTAATCAGATGAGCTCAGTGGCGCACAAAGTGAACCGCTACCCCTTACCCCACCCTGTTGGAGAATTTTAGCTCCCTATAAATAAATTGTACATTCAAGAGGAGCCTGTGAAGCAGGTGCCACGCCACACCACAGCTTCGGAAGAGCTAGCGGCTGCACCGTCCAAATAGATCACTGGCATCTGGAAGCTGGCGGCAGTATGAGGGGCACTCCAACCTTCCTGTGGTGCCTCAGTCTCAGGGGCTTTTCAGCTCAGCTCAGCTGCAGTGGCAGCGGCAGCATGAGCCAGTGCTAGGAAGCAGGAGGCCTGCGTGGCCAGGGCTGACATCAAGTCTGGTCAGCCTTCTGGACTGAGGGCGCCCAGTGAACAGAGAACTCCTCTTCGCCTCATCCGAGGCGAGGCTTTTAATTAAGGTCACCAGCTGCATGCATCGAAAGCACCCCGCTGAACAAGGTTGTTTCCCCACCCCCACGCCTCCTACCTACCCTATCATATAGATTGAGGGAAGAGAGCGGTTCTGAATTCACGATTTTAAAATAAGCCTCTTCTCTGAACAAGTCGCCTCGGATATTTGCAAGTCTTGGGTAAGCAAAATAATAATTAGACCAGTAACATTGTCCCTAGCCTGTGGGCTTAAAATGAGACTGGCTTTTGCCCTTAAAAGGACATTAAACAACAAAGGGGGAAAGGGAAGCATTTGGACAAATAACATTTTTCAAATTTGCCATCTTATGGAGAACGACCCTTGTGCTTTGAAAAAATATTTCCTCTCCCAAGAGGAACTAATTTAGCAGCCCTTACCTTGGCTGGGTCTATGGAGTGGAGGAGACAAAGATAGGTCTTCCTCCTATAAGAAAGAATCATTTTGGGTGTGAGATTTCGGCCCCTAGAATGTATCAGCAGAAGACAAGTGTTAGGGGTCTTTTCCACTCTTTCACATCAGGGTGCAATTCCTTCAGAATATCAGGGAGAAAAGCAAGGCATCTGCAATAAATAACATTTAATTTGGACAATGAGAACTGCAGGGCACCAAAGAGTTTGGGCTGGAGGGAGCCCCATGGCTTTCCTGCAGTCACTATTGGGGGGAACCCCAAATCAACAACAACAAATCAGGCAAATAGTAAGGGAGAATGAGACAGAGACATGGGAGGCAGCTTGCTGCACCTTGAGGGCACCCACCATGGGAAAGAAGGCTCTATTTGATTTATTTACCTTTGATGTTAATGCATGGAAATGACGTGCCACTTGGTCTAATTAAAAGACCTAAAAAGGCATTCAAAATGGGTTTGCTAACTGATCAGGGGATGTAAGTTCAGTGTTTGGCAGCTTTCTAAAATACTGCTCGGACTATTTAAACAGAGCTATTAACAGCATTCTAAAATGTTTGCATGCTTTGCTTAGAAGCTTTTAGCTGTAAACCTTCAGGCTATCTGTTCCCCTTTAAGTTAAAAATGATGCTGCTTCCTTGTGGCGAAGTCTATCAGGAATCTGCTATCAATAAAAGTAAGCTGGTGCCTCCATGACTTGATTGAGCTGGAGCAAAGAGTCTGAATAGTCTGAACCATTAACAATCTTCCAGGTAACAAGAAATGGAATTAATTACTCAGGTAAAATGATTAACACTGTAGTGGCACCTAAAAAAAACATACAAGAGAAGAGGCAGCATACTTCCTACCTTGGGGAATACTAATAGAATGCCTATATTCTGCTGTCTTTTTTAAGATAAATAGGGGAATTTAATTCATGTACAGTGTCATTATCTTTGTAATTGTAATCACATTGTACAGACATGTTCTGCATTTGTAAAGACATCTCCCTGAGATGGCACAAAATACCCTACTTTTGCTCACAGCTTACACTCCAGATGGCCCTCATTTCCAAGTGGAGCTCCCGAATATGTCCAACCAGCATAACGCTTTTATAGAAGCTGGGTGCTGCGGGAGACAGGGACGGATGCTTACTTGTATTCCCAGTACTCCCTGCCTTTAAGCTCAAAATGACAGCTGCTCCTCTTATTTTCTTTTAAAAAATTCTTCCTCAGTTAATTTCTACAGATTGTTCTACACACTTTGCTCCCAGAATCTCTTTTTACTTCCTTGATAGCCACACTTGATTATTATATCCTAATAATGCCTTTGACTAAATGAGTGCCCCAAACACCTTCATGGTCAGGAATTTATTAACTAAATTAAAGAGTTCAGCCCGTGGATAATAAAAACAGAAAGTTCTTTTTGTTTGAGCTTCCTTTCACTCAGTTTCTGAAAAAAGACCCCGCCTCCTCAGCCTCTTTAGAGACACAAGAGGGCCATCTAGTGACCGTCATTGATATTTTTTATTCAACAGCTACATCTCCAAAGACAGCCCTTAGGAGCTAAGGCTTCTCCATGAGTCACTGAGACCATAATCAACATTTGCAGAGATTCTTTTTTTTTCCTTTAAAATTTCAGTAAAATAATATTAAATGTCAATAGCAGGAAGAGGGAGTGGAAGAGAAGCAGGAACAGGAAAATAAATCCTTACATTTAAATCAAGTCCAAAGTGTGAGGGTAATATTGCAGCCCCAATATTGATTAAAGTAAAGGGTGTTGTTCAGGAAGAGTAAATTGATGGAAGATATTAAAAGGCCAGGAAAAGAGAGACAGAGGGGAGGGGAGGGGAAGAGAGAAAGAGGAAAAAGAAAGATTTTAAAAGCTATTC